GGAACCCTACGCACTTTAAACAAAAAAAAAAAACGACTGTGGGTTTCTCCTAACCTTCCTACCAAACCTAAAGAATCTGGTTTGGATTTGGGTGGGGGGGGGGCACACTGTTTTTTTGTTTTTGGTTTCTGTTTTGTTTTTTTTTAATAAAAATGTCAGTTAGAAAAAAAATGTCAGTCCCGCTGTGACAGGTTCTATACAGATGTGCAACTTTGCAGGTAGTTCAAGTCCCATAGACTTGCATTGGGTTCAGAAATTTGCGGTTGAATGCTCATTAGGTTGGAACGTTCGACTGCAAACCGGACACGGGGGTGTTCATTCCATCACTACATTTTAGACAATGTAGGCTTACTGTAGCCCAGCTTAGATTCATGGTAATTGACCACATGCCACGGCTGAGGAGAGGTGGAAATAGAGAGTTCAAACTGAAAGAGCGGGAAGTAAGGTGGATTTTACTAGGTACTATTTACCCTAAGGGATTGAATAAAGATCATGATTTGCTTTTGTTTTTGTAAATATTTTTGTAAGATGTTATATTTTTTTCTTACAGGTCTCTATATGCTAATTTAGATGCTAAGTCTGGACTCTTTCACCCCCTTCCAGTCCAGGCCAATTTTCAGTAATAACAACAGTGTATATTTTTTAGTCTGTGTGAAAGCTATAGAGTCTACAAACTATGGGATATATATGTGAAAATTGATCAGCTGAGACCCGGGCACTGGTATGACACATGGCAGTGATCAGGACACTAGTATGGGGGTGATCAGAACTCTGGTATGGTGGTGATCAGAATGCTGGTATGAAGTATGGTGGTGATCAGGATGCTGGTATGGGCTATGACAGTGATAAGGATGTTTGTATGGAGTATGGTAGTGATCCAGGCATTGGTAAGGCATATGGAGTGATCAGGATGCTGGTATGGGGTATGGAGGTGATCAGAACCCTGGTATGGACTATAGCAGTGATCAGGATGTTGCTATGGGGTATGGCGAAGATCAGAAAGCTGGTATGGTGTATGGCGGTGATCAGGGTGTTGGTATGGGGTATGGCGGTGTTCAGGGTGTTGGTATGGTGTATGGCAGTGATCAGGGTGCTAGTATGGCGGTGATCAGGAAACTGGTATGGTGTATGGTGGTGTTTTTGTGCGCACTGGGACAGGTGACCCCATAGCAACATCCTGATCACTGCCATATATAAAATATGTGATAGCTGCATCATCTCAGTCCATCATATGATCCCCATTTATATTTCTAGAGGGTAGCCATTAGGGGACGTTCTGTTTCCTGAAACACGTTTCCCAGCATTCCATCTAATAGAATCCAAGCAAGAAGTGTCTACAGCTCCTTCTCTGTGTGAGGTTCTCATCTATCCTGGCAGCCCCAGTGTCTCTCAAGCGGTGGTGCCTTCTACAGTGGCCGGGCCAGCTCTGTGATCCATCCATCTATGGCATAGGACTTCTCCCCACAGTGATATACTTACTACCTCCCTCTGCTTGTGAGTGCATATAATATTGTTCTTAATTGTTGATTTAATAAAGTGATGTACTACACTATGTGACCTCAGTTTTCCAAGCCTGATATGACGAGACGGCCTTGTTTCAGCCTGCATTAGAGTTTAATGTTTATTGTCTAGTTGGTGCTATACCTCTTGGATATGTTACATTTTTTAAATATTTTGATACTGTTACTTTCAATATTGATAACACAAAATTTTTGTTCCTTGTGTAGCGGGGCCATTGCTGTTTCCCTTTTAAGACTGCATGCTGTCAGAAAGGGCTTGATTGGCTCAGCTCTCAGCAGTGCTGGAGTGCTTGGGGGAGTTGCAGTTTCATCACAGAGGCAGACATTGTAACTTTATGCTGCAGACGACTACAGGGACCAGAATGCTTTGGAAGGACGAGGGTTGGTGAGCCACGTGTGCCAGGGGAGATAACAGCGGCAACTGCGATCATCGGTACCAGTCACCAGCGACGGCAGTTACCGACAGCGACGACATCTCCCTCCACAGAGAGAGAGGTCAGAGTTATGAAAATCGCAGAGGAGGCTTGTGACCATTCCATGTGAAGCACCTCAGAGATTGTGCAGCACTGACAATGGACAACAGGAAACACTAGCCATAGAGGGAGAGCCCCAGTCATTCTCCTTTCAAGGAGTTAACCCCTGGAGACTGTTCTTCTTGGATGTGGTAAGCAACAGCTAAACAGTGACATGTCAGTCCTTAAGAGTGCTCCACCAATTCACTAACACAGGCCTGTGCAACACATAGACTCACACAGTGTTACAATCCTACAGTATACAAGTGAATTTGGGACTGAACCTAAAGAGATGTCAGTTTAACTGGGGACATATTACTGCTGTAGTTGCAGGGGGGTAATACTGATCTATAACTATATCGGTATATGCGTATATACATTATTATTGTGTTTATGTCAGGGAGCGAGGAGCCAGACACACAAGGAGGTGCAATTAAAGGTAGGTTTATTATACGAAAACAAGACAGAGTCTATGCAAGTCCAACAGCAACAGCGGATGACTTGGTAGAACAGTAGCCAGGAAGGATGGTCGCCAGAGCCGGGGTCAGAAGCCAGGAAGGATGGTTGCCAGAGCCGGGGTCAGAAGCCAGGAAGGAGTCTAGCCAAAGCCGAGTCGGTATCCAGGAGAGCAATGAGAAACTAAACAGGAGCTTGCTGCTGTGCAACAGAGAGGACACGAATGCAATGGACAGCTACAAACAGCAGACTTATATGTGATAAGCCACCACCTCCTGGGGGAGGAGCCGCAGAGGGCTGAAAGCATAAAGGATCCCACAATGCTTTGCAGACACCTAAGATGGATGCCAGCACATGGAGCAGCACACACCCTGAGGAAAGGTAGGACTTTGACAGTTTATTGATGTTATTGTTCCAATAGAAGGTTTGTGTATTCAGTTCATTTAACTGCTATTTTCCAAGTTAATTTGCAGTCTATTTGCAGTTTTACCTGTCTTATTAAACCTGTTATAAAACTTCCCACAAGGTGTACTGGTGTGCTGTGGATCCAATATATATGGTCCATCACTGAAGTAAGGACAGAAGTGCCTGTTAATTCCAGCTGCTCCTTCGGGGATGAGCACTACACTTGTATTCTTTATGACAACTTCCAACATATTATCACTTGCATTCATCTTAGTATTATGGTCATCGCCATGTTTTTTCCTCTCTGGGGCTTGTGACAGCAGACACAACAGGATGAGGTCTTTGGGCATGATACATAAGATAGTCAGAGACTGCAGGCATGCCACAGGACAGGAGTAAAAAAACTATGGTCATGTTTCAAGAACTAGTCAGAGATTGCAAGCATGCTATAGGAGTTGTCGAAGATTATGGACATAGTTCAGGAGCCAGAGTAGTGGCTGCAGGGACCACAATGGCCATGCAAAAAGTGGCAGAGTACCGCATGTGGTCCCCAGGCCACATGTTGGGTACCAGAGTGTACCATAATGTTTTTTGTGTTTATTGGAATTAAGTATTAAGGACAATGTCTAGAAAATGTAGGGACCTGATGTGTGGAGATATCAGTGCATTATTGAGGTTTTTTTCCCAAATTTAACGAACATCTAGTTTATCATCATGAATACATTATCCTTAGACACTAACCACCTCTGGTGAGTACAGCAGTGAGTAATTGCATCATGCTGCCCAACCAGAGACTCATAGTTTACATAGTTGATAAAGTTGAATAAAGACATTGGTCCATCCAGTTCAACCCGAGAATGAGTGAGTGTGTGTGTGTAACTACCAATTTCCATATACCTGTGCATTGAGTTTGCTGAGAAAAACATCTAACATTTTTTAAATTTATTTACACCTTCTACTAACACCACCAATTGTGAAAGGGAGTTCCCCGTTTTTATTGCTCTGAGGACTTGTAAGACTGTCTATCTCAACTGTCAACCACTTATTTTGAAATAAAAGGACTACTCTTAGTAATTTGTCTTGTTATTATAGTGGAAACAGTTGTATAATGTGAGGTCATTAAATTTGTTTCATTTTTTAAAATACTACTACTACCTGGCATACTTGAGTGTCAGTCTTTTAAAAGGACAGTATTGGGTTGTTCAGAACTTCCATTTTCCTCCATATTCTCCACCATCCCTTTACATGGTTACAAATCTCCTTGGTGAATTCTAATATTTTTTCTATTTATAGAAGGGGTTACAATGTTCCATATCTAATAATATACTGACTTTATATTATGTTCTGTAGACTATTTATGTAATGAGATTATGCATGAAGAAATCAAATTGTTCATAATATATATTATGTAAGGTAGTAAAATATATACAGTATAAACCCGTCTCTCATCCTTTTTAACATGAAAGAACCCTTGAAATAACTTTTAGGCCTCACAGAGCCCTACTAATATTATATCTACAGCTTATGAGTGAGTGAGCATTAGAGTGAACAGTAGGTTGTCGATATAGGAATAAATAAAATAAGGAATGCTGCGTACTTAGGGCTGCTTTATATGACTATATTATTTTCAGTAACAATAAAGAAATGAAACAAAACAAATGGCCAGAAAATAAATACAGTTAAATCTGCACTGTCACCTTACATTGTTGGAGAGTGGAAAAGACATTTGGTGACATTGATGGTCATGGAAGAAGTGCCCCCTTATACTGGTAGTCATTGGAAAGAATTTCACCTTTCAGATACCGGAAAAGATCACTTGTGTAAGTGATAGCTTATCTGAGAATTAAAAAAAAAACATCACTCATTGCTCAAGAAACCCCTAGCTACCTTTGGAGAAACCCTAGCATTTCATGAAACCATGAAGAGAGAAATATCTGAGAAAAGCTGGTATAGGCATAGGAGGTGCATCAACTGCAACAGAAACATTCAATGGTACAAAACATATGAAAGTTTATTTTGCCTTTAAATTGTGTGATAGTCCTGAAGAAGTTGAATCTTGACATGAACTATGAAGTGGGGTTTCAGCCTCGATGTTGGAAATACATGCTCATTTGTGTTTAGGGGTAATAGGACGCTTGTTGCGGGCTTCTGATTTCAGGTATTCACTCAGCTTTGGACGTTTGTCAAGGCGTTGACTGTAAGCTGACAGGAGAGGGAAGGAAGCTAAGCATTTTGGATCAAGGTCAAGGTGACAGTGAACCATGTCCAGGAGATTGTAGTCAGCAAATGAGATCTGTAACAACAAAAGCATGAAACATTAACTCTAACCTTTCCCAACTATATGTTATTTTTATTTCACAACTATATTCTACTGCTGAGGCCCTATTGAGGACTTTTTCTTCTTGCTTCTTGTCTTGGTAGGCCACCAAGACAGGAATAAGGGTAAGGATAACCTGACAGAAACTCTAACTATATCACTAAACTAAGAGAAATGTTTGTTTCAGTTTGGCTTTAACCCACTATAGCTGACACGTACGGAAAAAAAATACTGACAGATCGCTGTACTAATGCATGCGATGTTAGTACAGCAATCTACCCTGCTGTGCTATTGTGTCCCCCAATAGGACATACTGATCACTGCTGGATTTCAATTGGATGCTGGTGCTCAAGCATGCTCATTCATCAGACATTGGTTGTGAGACCAGCTTCTGACGGACAGGAAGCTGTACACATAGGCCAAAAGTCAGCTGGTTCCTACCAAACCGACAATTTCTGGCTGATTTTTAACCCGTGTGCACCCAGCTTGAGACTACCATTGCTTAAGCCAAAATAAATCATCTAGTGATAAACTTCTGATTCTGCTTCTTCTCTTTTTATTTAATCAATTAATGCCAATAGTTAAATAGTCCATTTGGTTTTAAATTCAAGTAGGTGTGCAAATTAAAGAGGATCTTTACCCAAAAAACTTGATTAAAAAAGTTCTTTAGCAAGAAACATACACACTCTACATTAATAATTATGCTACCAAAATTAGTGTGTGCTGTAAATTGCCTCCAGCATTGTTCCTGTTTCTTCTTGCTGAAGGCTGCCATTTTCTGAAGCCCAGAGTCCTGAACAGTATTAAATCTTCAGGCTATCAGCACATCAGCCTCTACACATTTGGCACAGTGCCTAAAAATAGGGACCAACTGAGCATGTGCACAGCAGGATGAGACAGTGTATTACTGGATTTTAAACAGCATAGGCACTTATTTTTAATGTTTTACATTAAATTTGCAGGTTATAACTGCAAAATGGGCCAGCCTGAATTGATCTAGCAGGACTTAATATTCTGACTAAAGTTCCACTACAAAGACAGATTTCACATTTTCACTGGACATGTAGCAGGTTTGTCATTCTGGTTGGAATTCTTTTGTAGTAGGCTCCATGCACACTAGCATTTTTTTAAGCTCCTAGAAGCTGTTATCAGCAATTTAGTGTTATCCTATGTGTCCATGCACACTATTTTAGACTAGTAGTGTTTTTCAAGCATTTAGGAGCAAAAAAAAAAATTGTTTTTGTAGAGTTGTTGGGATCATTTCTCTGGGCAGAAAAAAAACACTTAATACTCCTAAATTCTTCTAAACACTACTATAAACAGACACAAAAAAGCTATTTTCATCCACCGTTTTTTTTCCTAGCGTTTTTTGAGCTTATAAAAAATGCTAGTGTGCATGGAGGTGTATTATCAACAATGGCATATCCATTCTAAAATATTAAAATTAACTTGTTGAGCAAGGTAGGGACAGTTTAACTTGTTAACTCCATTCTATTTCTTCAGACATTTTCTCTGTTACTTTAAAAAAGGCCTGGATTCTTTCTTAGATACACAGAATATAACTGGATACATACATTTATAGGTAAAGTTGATCCGGGGAATATCTCATTGTCTCTCAGGGGATCAGGAAGGAAATTTTTCCCCTACAGGAGCAAATTGGATCATGCTTTGCTGGGTTTTTTTTACCTTCATCTGGATCAACTGTGGGTATAGGATTATAACTTTTTTTTTTTGTTTTTATGGTTGAACTAGATGGACTTTAGTCTTTTTTCAGCCAGACTAACTATGTAACTACTTGTTATACATTTCCAGAACCTGTAGCCTGATTTCTAGTAATGCAAAGAAAGTCTAGATTGCTGCATTACTGAAAAGACCACCTTTATTGAAGAAAAATAGCAAAAATGGGTAAAAACATAATGAAGTAAGCAGCGAATGTAACTCACTAATGCATTTACTCCTTTTTGATATTTATCTTATGCTGGGCTAGCACCTCATTGTGCACTTGTGGCAGATTGTTGCTGACCAACCCGGAGCAGTGTTTCTTTGCAGCGGATTTCTAGTAAAGTGTAGAATGAGGAAAGCACTTCAAGTTCTGATCGTTGGTCACTCCCGGACTTTTAAGTAGTGAGGACAACTGAAGTGAGTGTAGTTTACACATTGCACTCATATTTCATATTAGGTAGTTAGGGGTAGAGTTACACTTTAAATTAGTGCTGTTGCTTTCTAATTGTATGATATCTAGTATTAGAAGAGCGGTAGATACAGTATATACTGTATGCTGTGTCTAGAATTTCCTCTTACAATGTTACTTTTGCAAGAAAGGTGTAAAGGTTTAATTATTAAACAGATTTTGGAGAAAAAAATAATTTATTTTCTCTTACGTTACCTTATCTCCCACTACAAATTTGGTTCCATTTGCATTATTAGAAAGAATCCTTTCAAATGGTGACAGCTGATTAGGTAGATCCTGCAGGTATTTCTCCTTCCCAGTTTCCTGTGAAATGGAAATAGTTACTCTTGCATGTTAACCATGCTTTCTACATTAGATACAGAATGTACACTGTGGGGTTTATCTACTAAAACTGGAGAGTGCAAAATCTGGTGCAGCTCTGCACTGAAAGCAATCCCCTTCCAGGTTTTATTGTGAAAGCTAAATTGAACAAGCTAAAGTTAGAAGCTGATTGTCTACCATGCACAGCTGCTCCAGATTCTGAGTGCACCAGTTTTAGTAAATCTACCCTTATATATGAATACATATTATTAAGGTATACTTAAAGTGTATCTAAAGCTAAAACTTTTTTTTTAACATTATGAATATGTGATGAGTGATGAGAGGTGAGAACCTCTTTCAGGCTTTTATGGTTGTCTGTCACGTTATCTGTTTTTCCTGGTGTCATTTGTTACCGGGACCAAAAGTGATGAAAATGTGAAATTTTGTATTGTCACAAAAGCAGTAATAAAGGAACACAGATGGTAAAAAAAACCTTACATGGGTTTTAACTTTTCCCTATTCCGTCCAAAATTGAAAAAAAGATTTGGCCTTAGACTTTACATTCCATTATCACATTTTGTAGAGATGTCAGAGGGATTCCATCTTGAACGTATTGCTTGACTACTCACACAGTTTTATTGATAAAGCTAATTTTTCTTTCAAATAGAATACATCTTATAAGAGTTCAAACATTTTACGTTCAAAGAATTATGACTGTTTTGAGAGGACTTAAAAATGCAAATGATACTAAACCCAGGACCCTGCATTCACTATATCTGGTCTCCCACAGTACACAGAACATGGAAATGCAATTATTGTAGTAAATATAAACTGCTAAATACCTTTTTTCATCAGCAGTTAGAGCAGTTATGTGACTTCTATCAGTGTCCAACAGAGCACTGGTTAAAGGTTGTAGGAGGCGTTTTCTTTTTCCCCTGATTGTCCTAGGAGGCTGCATAACCCCTGACCATCTGTCTGGACAGCGCTGATTTGACCCTATGCTGATCACATGCACTCTCCCAAGAAAAAATATCAAGCTGAGCATGTGTAGCTTGCCCCCACAGCTCTGTTCTATTAGCAGATGGATTGGGGGAAGTAGAAGAAGGGGAAGATCAGAGAAGACAGAATCAAACATCCTTTATATACACAATGCCTAGGATTGACCCCTTAGGTTCCACGGTGAGTATGCTTTACTGAATATACAGACTGATTTTACTGTTGTGGGTTTATTAACACTTTAAACATGCATTATATATGATCAGGAGTGGACACATTGGTGGAGATTTACTAAAACTGGTGCACTGAATCTGAATCTGGTGCAGCTGTGCATGGCAGCCAATCAGCTTCTAACTTCAACTTGTTCAATTAAGCTTTGACAGTGAAGCCTGGAAGCTGATTGGTTTCTATACAGAGCTGCACCAGATTGTGCACTCTCCAGTTTTATTAAAAAAAGACCATTATGTTTAAACATCATGAGGCCAATTATTCAAAATGTGATAATACATGCTAAAATGGCTTGTAAAATGATATACTGTCGTGTCTATGAAAACCATTACAATCCTTGTCTCCTTCACTGGTGATTCGGTCATCACTTTTATAATGTCAGCAGTAAAGAATATTCTTTAATGGAAAAAAATGTCTGGACTTTCCATTACATGCCCTGGTGCTTATGTGTACATTGGAAAAGTGCCCCCTTACATTGGTGGCCAGTGGGAGAGGTACTTTATACCCACAGTTAAAGGAACCCTAGCAACCTCAAGAGGATCCCTGGTTGAGAAGGGATGGGCAAAAGAGACCCTTTTAACACCTTACATTTTTATACCTTTATATACTGTATGCTGTATCATGTTTGCAGCTTGATGAAATATAGATTTCACTCAGTAATTTAGGAAAGGAACCCTGAGAAGTAACCTCACCAGAGTTTCCAGCACCTTTTAAACCATTCTGCAGCTTGGATCTTTGTTACTTCCAAGATGGAGGCTGGGCTGTAAGGTAGGAAGATGCTCTGCTCTTTTTATGCGGGGTTTAGAACCTTGATGCAGGAGAAGAGTTTATGAAGGCTAACAATTTTTATACATAATAAAAAATAGAAAAATGTGTGCTACAGCAAGGAGTTATAAGTGCTTCTACATTTACAGTTTTCTCTTAGTCCCCACACAAAGTCCTAGAAATATCTTTTGAGTCTGCCTGTGAAGTCCACCTAATTCAGCTTCCTCTGATAGTGTGGCAATGATGCTCCACTGTTCCTGATGTCACAGCAGAGTTGCCACTTTCATGTAGGCCAGTGGTCTCCAAACTGCGGCCCATGGGCACTGTTCCTCCCACAGATATTACCAATGATAAGGCACCATTCCCTCACATTGACACCAACATTAGGGTCCTATTTCTTCCATGGACACCAATAATGAGGCATAATTCCTCCCACTAATACCAATGATGGGGCACTATTCCTCCTCTTACTGACCACGGGTGCTGTGTAGTTTTTATTTCCACTGACCATTAAGCCTGAGACGTAGTTTACTCCCACTGATGCATTTTCTACTCTTACTCGCTATAGTCTGCCCCCCCTCCTAAAGTGTGAAGGGTAGTAAACTGGCCCTTTCTTTAGGAAATTTGGAGACCCCCTGATCTAGGCTGTGCCTGCTTACAGTAAAGAGGGATGCAAAAAATGTTGCAGAGGACATGGCTATCAGCATTGTCATTGCTTTTCACAAGCCTGTAACTTGTCATTCAGAACATGGCCACACCTAGTCCTGCCCACTTTTTTTCTGGATCAAAGCACTGTTTCTGTTGCTAAAAGCCTTTCACTGTGAGTTGCAGTGTCTGGAAGGAGGTGCATGTGAGATAAAATTAAGAAGGATTTGACTAACTACAGGAAATTAAAGGAAGTTTTTTGTTTACTTAACTAGCTGCCACCCGGCCTATAACCAGATGGCGGCCAGGCGAACAGCTCCTTCCTCCAGGTGGACGCCATATGGCGTCCTTTCCAGAACAAGCATTACGCATTCCCGCAGGGCTGCACTGTGGCGAGATCTGTACCTTGGACCAATCACAGCAGGTCACATGACAGTTGTATACAATGGATGGCATGAAAGGAAGCCATCCATTGTATACAAGTGTGTCTAGCTGTGACTGGTCACAGTGATCACATGCACAAGCTGGGCCAATCATAGCCCAGCTGTGTCATGTGATTAGCCGTGGCCAAATCACAGCTAATCACAAAAAAAAAAAACCCTGAATTAATCTATTTCATTCAGGTATATGCTTCCTTATAGCAAAGTAATTCTTTGCTATAAGCAAATTGTGTAAAAAAAAAAAAAATACTGATCACTTCCCCAAAGTAGTACAATGTTGCTATGGTAACATTATACTACTTTGGTCATAGTGCAATATGAAAAAAAAATCTTTAAAAAGAGAAAAAAATAAATAATAATAAAAAAATTGAAAACAAACCATCATTTTTTTTTTGTACCGTCACCTGTCAGTGTCCCTTATCACCGCCATACCATGTATTTGATGATGATGTACTGAACTGGTGACAGTATGTAAAAAAAAAATAAATTGTGAAAATAATTTTTTAAATTTCTTAATTTTCCGAAAAATTATGACAAAAAAAATTACAACTTCAAAAAAAACCTTGCCATGCCTGTTATGAAATATGTCGGACTGTCTACTTTGCAAAAAGGTGTCATTTGGGGGATATCTGTACTGTTCTGACATTCTTGGTCCTCAAGAAATTAGATTGGCTGTCAGTACTTCAGGATTGATCAATTTTCAGATATATCCCATAGTTTGTGAACTCTAACTTTTCTACAGACTAAATAATAAATACTAATTTGGGTTATTTTCACCAAAGAAATGTAGCAGAATCTTGGCCTAAATTTATGATGAACAATTTTTTATTTGCAAACTTTTATAACAGAAACAAAGAAAAACTTTTTTTTTTTAACTTTTCGGTCTTACAATAAGTTAATTTAGCAAAAAATAAAAACCCCAGTGGTGATTAAATACCACCAAAAGAAAGCTCTAGTTGTGTGAAGAAGCTTATAGAAAAAACTTTAATTTGGGTACAGTGTTGTATGACCGCGCAATTGTCATTCAAAGTGTGAGAGCGCTGAAAGCTGAAAATTGGCCTGGGCAGGAAGGGGGAAAAAGTGCCCTGTATGGAAGTGGTTAATGAGGTTTTCGCATCACCAATAACTAGATTTAGTACTTGTTTAGACTGTCATATAGGGCCTTTAGTAATATTTTATCCTGTCTAATACTATCAATACAATGGGCAGCATATAGGATACTGCTTATTACCACTGCTAAGCAGGTATTTGCTCACATTATTTGGATAATGATAACTTTACATGTGGCAATACGTATTTTGCATACAGTGGAATACAGAAAAAAACTTGCCTGCAAAATGGCAAATTGTGCAAACTTTATGAGGAAAGTCTATTGGTTTAAATTAATTTATAAAGGAAGGAGAAGATTAGTGATGAGCGCTAAAACTCATTTTTACAGATTTCACCCTCTAGTAACCTGTGGTAATGATACGTACGAATTCCATGAAAATAAAGCGGCTGAATTTCTGCCTCAAATCTTCCACTCCATCATTCACCATGTCGATAACTGCACTTTCTTCTTTAGTACTACCAGCAATTCCTGCAGAATTCATAGGATAAGTGTTAGACTCAACTATGTATCAATACACTTAAAGGGAATATTTTGTGTGCGTAAAGCGAGTATACACTGTGATTTGTTTATGTCATTCGCAATGCTTGAATAAATGTTCATATTTAGCTGTGAATATCACATTTTCACTGACTCTGAAGCTATCCAAAAAGCTCCCTATGTGAAACAAGAATGTCAGTACTCTCCTAATGCAAGTCCCTATTCACTCTCTCCATCAGAATCTTAAACTAAAGGCAAAACTTTTATTTTCATTTTGGATAAAGCAAGAGAGATTTATAACCCGTCAGATTTTTTTTCTCTCCATCTGTGTCCCATTTCGGAGATTTCCCTTTGCTTCCTGTCCCATAGCCAAACAAGAAGTGAGAGGAAATCCCTGAAAATTAAGGGAGTTCCTTGGGGAACCCCAGGTCACCAGAACCAGTGTCCCCATTGGAAGATTTCCCTTCTATTACATTTCTGGTGACATCACAAAATTTGTGATTTTCTTTTACTTTCACTTTCAATGATAATGGCAAACAGGACAAATAGAGAGGGCGATTCTCCCTAACGGGGCCCAGACAGCAATATAAACTCGAATCCCTCTCCACTCTTACCAAAACTAAAAAAAAAGGTTTGCCTTTAGTTATACTTTAAGTGTCTATGACTTCGGGGTGTGTTGGATGTCCCTTTGTGCACTGTGGTTACATCTACCCACCCCTACATTCTTGATGGACACAGTGGTTATTGGACTAGAAGATGTAACCATAGTGCACAATAGGGACCATGATCTTCGATGGCTGTACCGTAAGAAGAGTGAAGATCTGAAAAAAGGGTGAAGGGATGGATGGGTATAAAACATTCCTACTTTGCAGGAAGCTTTGTTTGCTTGTTTTTTTATTTAGAAACATAGCCCCTTAAAATTTGACAGTATTCTTCTAAAGAATATCTTAAAAGAAAATAAGGGAATTGCATAAAATAATAAGGCTCAATGCACACTAGCTTAAAAATAAGCTCCTAGTGTGCATGGATCCTTAAACTATTCGTTTCCAGCAACGGGGGTTTTATACACAATCTGGTAGCTGCAGCCACCGGGATTGTGTATAAAACTGACAGGCAGACTCCTGCCTGTCAGATGGAAGCAGTCAGGCAGCTGTGGTGCCACCTGGTTGCATCCAGAGCCCCAGTAACGGTGCCCCCTGCACATGCACTCCCTCCATGTATTGCGGGCTCCAATTTGTGGGCCTGGGGCTGACATGGCAGGTGCCCGTGGGTGGAGGGGGGCAAGAGGAGAGCGGAGAAAAGTCTGCTCTCTTCCCCTTCTTGCTATGACGTCACATATGACGTAACTTCCGGGTGACATATATGATGTCACTTCCTGGTCACCGTTGTCACTTTCCACGGCTATTCTATCAGGGGATAAATGTATTGCAATACACCCAGTGGAGCCCAAAAGGAGAGATGCAGGGTCTAAAAAAGAATCTGTCACCTGAAAATAATCACATAGGGGGCTTTGTGCCCCATGTGTGATGAAAAAAGTAAAAAAGATTTTTTTTACGTGCAAAAAAATAAAGCTACCCCCAAGCACCCCCCCCCCCCCCCCCGAAAAATTTGAGGCCCCCATCCCTATATATACGTATGCGTCAGGGCACCTACGAATGAACACGCCACTTGCGATACATATGTTACATATCGCCACGCACACACTGGAGTGAAAGCAATAATCCTAGTGCAAGACCTCCTCCGTAACACAAAACTGATGACCTGTAGGGGCTTTTGAAGGTTACTGAAGTCTTTCACATTTCATAGGCGCACACAAATTTAAGGTTTGACATGTTGGGTATCTATTTACTCTTTTTATATTTTACCAAACATTTGGGTAATTTGTTGTGTTTGTTTGACCTAAACTTCACTATAGTGTGTTTTTTTACTGAAAGGTTGTGTTTCCTAGACCTTTGCAATAATATTTGCGTGTAATTAAATATTCTAAAGATAAAATATGAGAACGCTCACCGTATTCATGTCCCAGGTACCTCAAGATGGCATTGCTCTGATACAAAACAAAGTCAGCGCGTTGAAATTTAGGCAGTTGTCCAAAGACCTACAGGAGACAATATTGTTATGGAGATTGAAAGAAAATTAAAAGGATGGGTGGGTGTAAAGCAGAAGAGAGAACTGGAAGACATAGGCAATCGTAAAGGCCAACTCTGGGCTCACTTCTCCCTCCTCTCAACTTTCCCTAACAGTATTTTATGCTATTTTTTTATTACTTACTTTTTTCTTCAGGTCTATCAGGTTATGCCACAGGATCCTCTTCCTCTTTGATCTTCACCTGGTGACTGGTGGTCCTCAGTGATACAAAGAGCAGTACTAACATGAGGATGTCAGTGCCGCATTTGCTGTAATAACACCCTCTCAGTGGGCAGCCCTATGACACCCTGTACTAACAGTCTGTCCTCAGTCTTCCAGGCTATCCAGAAGACTAACATTATAGCAAAAAGAAAGTACTTTGGGGGCAGCAGATTAAAGGTGAATATTACAGCGATTAGGGAACTCAAAAGTATTGCAGTCAAAACAGGAGTTTAGCAAGAAGAAGGTGCTGAAATGACTTATACCAATTCACATTTTTATTTACATATCCAAACGGAGAGCAGCTAATATGCAAGTCATTAGCAGAAGCCTCACCAACTACATGCCTGCCCTTATCACTACTTCATGCCATTTTGTGGCATAAGTTACACAGCACAATGCAGGGAAATTCCAACTGTGGAAGGAGAGATAAGGTTTCCAGGTTCAGACATGCATAAAATATACTAAGGAGGAGTAGAAACACATAGAAACTCATATAATACATTTTTCACATGAATCTAACAGAAAGGTTCAACAATTGATATTTTAACTTTATTTAGAAAGGGGTGTACTTTTTCTAAGAAGATGATATTGGTTTGTTAGTGTATACTTTAGATAGAGTTATTTAATCTCAATAACAGAAACGAAGACTTACAGGAAACGTTTGAGCTCTGTCAATGCCAAAAAAGGATATATAACAAAGTATTGAGATGAACTTTTGATATTGACCAAATACTTATTTTCCACCATAATTTGCAAATAAATTCTTTCCAAATCAGCCAATGTGATTGTCTGGATTTTTTTCTCATTTTGTCTCTCATAGTTGAGGTCTACCTATGATGCCAATTACAGGCCTCTCTCATATTTTTAAGTGGGAGAACTTGCACAATTGGTGGCTGACTAAATACTTTTTTGCCCCACTGTAGGTCTAATTAGGTTCTATAAAGACTTAGTAGGTCATTGAATAACTTTTATACATTTTTTAAATTTTCATTAGCGCATAAAAGAACTAGTGTAAATACATTGTAACAATAATATTACAACACATTAATAAATGAACTAGGAAACAATGTTTGCCAGCACAGGAGTCGCTTCCCGAGTTCCTGAGCGGGAACCAGATGTCAGTTTCCCCATGATCAAAAAGTGCCTGAAGCAGGACCAGGCATTGGCCCATAAGAGCCTTTTCTACCATGCGCTGCCAGAATCACCATAATGAATTTCCACTGGCCACTAAACACGTATGCCTATCTTCCACAAGCATACTTATTCAAGTAATTAGGACAAGCAGCAGGAAGGGGATCACACACAACTTCCAGAAACATCTTATTTTGAGTAATTAAACAATAGCAATTGAAAAAAGTTTTTAGATCTTCCACTGCCTAAAACACGCCTGCTTCAGTCACAAAACTGCTATATCTGGCACTTATCTGAAGCCTATGCGGAGATTCACAGGAAGGTGTTAGCCACTTTAAACTTTAAGTCCTCATGCACACTGGACATTTTTACAGCGGCTGTTTTTGGCTTTTGGCATTTTTTTCTACAGCCAGTAAACTCCCTAGCATGTTATCTTATGTGTCCATGCACACATAGACTGTAATCATCGTTTTTTTGGCTGGAAAAAAACCCAAAACTAGTGGGTATCTAGAGGAGTTTTTTAGCTGTAAAAGAACTCTAATGCTGAAAAATGTGGTTAAATGAGGCAAACTGGCGTTTTTGGACTTTGAGTAAGAAAGATTTAAAAAAATGCTAAATAATGCTAAAACACAAAAAAACACGGCTAAACACTAATGCAAAAACGCTGAAACACTCACGTTTTTAACGTGACTTTACACAACGAACGTTACCAGCATTATTAAAAACGCCCAGTGTGCATGGAGCCTTAAGGTAAAGTCATAAATAGAGGCCACAATAAGGTGGCTGCAATTACTTTTATCGGACAGAACAGCCTAATCTCTAAACTTGTGTGATCCAGGTTTATTACAGTGTCACAGTGGGACTAAGCCTCATTCAATTGCTGTGCCCTGTTCAATGACAGTGTCCTAAATGCCAGTAAGGGTGTTTTTACTGAACAGATTTGAGTAGCACTATAGATTTTTAGACAAGCACTTTTATACAGTATGTGAAAATGAGAGTGGGTGATCATTTAAACCGTCTAAAAGAAACACACGCATTGCCAAATGCAATCATTCAGTTTCCAGTTGCTGTCCAACTGTTACTGCAACAGTCCATAAAAAGGTTGGATTTAAACCTCTACAATAAGATCCAGCACATCCGTTCTAACTCTAGACCAGTACAAGAAGGTGAAAGACCTATATAAAGCTTTGATCTGGAATTTTAAAATAATACATTCCTCAGATCTTCATTCCTTCTGTTGAAACAAATACCCTGCCAAAACCTTAGTAGAAACCATTGCCCTGTACTTAGTGAAACAGCAATAGACTTAAAATAAATATACTAACCCTCTTGTATTGAAATGTATTGTTGCTGTATTGTCTCCCATATAAATCCTGTATAATAATAATAATAATAATGGCTCCCACTGAAAGAAAAGCACTGAAAGCATCTACACTTATAGTTTTCTCGTGCTCCCCCTGCAAAGTCCTATAAAAACCTATTGCCAGTGAAGTTCACCTAATGCAGCATCCTGTGATGATATGTTAAAGTAGTAGTAAAGTCCTGGAATGGAAAATCCGCTGACGGGCAGGGGTTCTTTTCAACAGAAGAGACCCTAGTGGTCTCTTCTGTCATAAATTCACCCCCCTGCCTGTCAGCATGTAATGTGCTCTGAGCTGTACATGCGCAGCTCAGACCACATTTACGGACCACGCTAAATGCCGCGGCAATGTGACTTCCGCGCTCATGCATGGGAGTGATGTCACCCATGGCCTGGCCATTCAAGTGTCTGAAGATCGGGAACTTGGAAGTAAGACTGGGCAAAGAAGGAAGCTGCCGGAAACCAGGGAAAGCTTTATCAGCGTGGCGCTGGAGTGATCCATCTGCAGGTAAGTATGTCATAGTGTACTAGTATGCTGAAGCAAACAGTGTGAAGAAGTTGCTAACTGTCTTCAGGGTCAATAGCTAAAGACCTCTAAACTTCATGTGGCTTTCAGATTAGCACAACAACAGTGTGTAGAGAGCTTCATGGAATGGGTTTTCATCGCCAAGCCAAGCCTTACGTCACCAAGTGCAATGCAAAGCATGGGATGCAGTGGTGTAAAGCACGCCACCCCTGGACTTTAGAGCAGTGGAGACGTGTCCTCTGGAGTGACAAATCACACTTCGCTGTCTGGCGATCCAATGGGCATGTCTGGGTTTGGCAGCTGTCAGGAGAATGGTACTTTCCTGACTGCATTGTGCCAAGTGTAAAGTTTGGTGGATGGGGGCTTATGGTGTGGGGTTGTTATGCAGGGGTTGGGCTTGGCCCCTTAGTTGCAGTGAAGGGAACTCTTAAGGCATCAGTATATCAAGACATATTGGACAATTTCATGCTCCCAATTTTGCTTTTTCACATACGAAGTTACAGACCTGGAATAAATATGCAGACAGAGTCATCCAAACTCCTATTTCAGGTCATTGACTTAAGTAGTGGATCCAGGATGAAGGCCCTGGGCTTGCACCTTCAAAAACCATCTCAACAATGACTTCTCACATAATTCTTCTCATAATTTCCTTTAAAGCTGGAGAATGAAAATACATCAAGAATTTCTGATTAAAATGTATCACTCACTGCAGTCTTCTTCAGTTCACATTTTCCAGCAAACCAATCACCGATCTGAACTTCCTTCTCTGTCCAGGAGGCTCCTTGATCAGCCAGCAACAGCCGGATGGGCTCAGCTCTACCTGGAGATGAGATCAACAGGGAAGTGTAAAGTAACTTTGGAAAGTTTAATTTGTGCAAATAACTATATTTGTCTTATCAGCAGGTACTGAAAAAATTAAATCAAGAAACCCATCTCTTTATAAAACACTTGTTTGACTTCATCTTGAATCTGCCATTTAGATTTTGTCACCAAACCTCAGCAAAGACATTGGTGAATTAGAAAGTGCATAGCAAAAAGCAACAAAATTAATAGGATGATGGAGGACCTCAGCTATGAGGATCGATTACATAGATTACATTTATTTACTCTGGAGAAGAGGCACTTAAATTGCTTGTAGAGACTGAAGGTTTTTTACCTATGCATGAAGGTAAGAACCTTCTCTGTGCAGCACCCCCCCAATCCCCCCTAATACTCACCTAAGCCCCCTCTCGTTCCAGCGGTGGGCTGGACTCCCTCTCCTCATTGGCTGACACAGAAGCTGGAGCCATTGGCTCCCACTGCTGTCAATCACATCCAGTGAGCCAATGAGAAGAGAAAGGGGTGAGGCCAAGCCGCTGCTCCTTGTGTGAATGGACACAATTGTATATGGAGGCACGTGGCAGAAGGGAGGGGCCAGGAGCGCCTGTGGTAGACCTGAGAAGAGGTGGATCTGGGCTGCTCTGTGCAAAACCACTACACACAGTAGGTAAGTATAGAGATGTTTGTTATTTAAAAAAAAAAGCCTTTAGAATCACTTAAGAGGGGATATAATTACAATATGTATTTTGCTAAAAATGTCTAATTTGTCTTCTCTCTCATGCCTAAAGCTGCTGTGAAAATATCTCTCCATCCTCAACTGAAATCAAAAATTGCAAACAATTTGGTGTATGCTGCTACCAAGCCCCAAATCAGGCCACTTTATATAAGGTTGGGTACTGTACACCAGCAGAGGCTCATCCTATGCTCCACAGACTGCACAAATACAAAAGAAAATTCTGACTGCACTCCTTTCACCCACCAGACTTCACTTAATCATAGAGGTGAGGAGACGCGGGCAAGGGGAGACATAAACACACAGCATAATGAGCGTTTGATGATATTCAAAGCAACAGACACTTGTATTCTATCAAGTGCTATCATTTGTTGTATTGATATCTCAGTAACTCAAGGCTATGCATTTTCCACCCTTACTGAAAACCAAAGGCAAAATACCTGCTAAAAACTATTTATTACAGGCAACTGAAAATCATAAAGAAGATAAAGCATATATTGTGGTTTCATTATGATAAGAGATATCAATCAAAACAAGAGGGAACTTGTTAATAAAAAATAATATTTAAAAAGGGACACACTGGTCATTACAGCTTTCTACTGCAGTGTTTCGTAACCTTTTGTCAGTCAGGGCACCCTTTAACATTATGTACAGTCTTGAGGCATTCTAAAACAGGGTGCCACAATACTTTCCATAATTTTAAAAGGGCACCCCCATTCTAATTCAAATGTGAAAAACTATTCTAATAGTTCTATATACTGCAGCAACATCCACACATGTAGGACACCCATTAGAGGCGATTTATTCTACCAAAGCAAATACACTTTTGCACACTGGTACCGACTAGTATTCCAGTCTCTCTTCTCCCTCCATTTTTCTCCATCACTGGGGTAATGTGACCCCAGCACTGATGGAGAGGGCAGGGGAGGGTCAAACCAACATGCTGTGCATGCAACCAACATCCTCCTTATCAACTAATGATGTCATTGGTTGTTAGGACGCCAGTGGCTAGAAGGTCGTAATGGTGCACAATGAAAACCTGTGGCCTTGTGTAACTAAAAGGCAGGCTTGTTCCACCCGTTGGCTTGTATGCAAGTTTTGGGCAATTTGACATTTTGCCAAGGCACCCCTGAAGAACCTCAAGGTTGAGAAAGGCTGTTCTACTGTATAATTAAAAAAAGGGTTTACCAAAAGCAATTAGGCTGCTCACTTTGCAAAGGAATTTTCTCTAGAGCTTATTGAATGTGAAGGTTCACGATAGGAAAAAGATTTTACCATAGAGGTTACAGTAGGGAAGCAATGGAACAGGCATATCATTTCACAAGAAACACAAATAGGAAAACTCTGTTGAAAGAAATCAACAGAGAGATCATCATTGAGGTGAATCTTTAAGGTCCCTTTCACATGGACATTCCAATCAGATCCGCCTGTCAATTCCCAATCAGAACATCCATTTTCCTCTATGGAGTGAAGGATGTAAACAGACGTCCAACCTACATCCAATCCACCAAAAACAGATGGATTGGAATCTGTTCCTCTTCCAGTGGATTGAATGGCAGTTGGCTGTAAACAGACAGGTGGTCTGTTTATTTTGAGACAAAAACAATCCCCTCTGGGTGCTCATTGTACTTTGCAAGGATTTTAACAAACTCTTTTGCAGATTCCTACCTGTTTCTGATCTGAAGAAAAATCAGTTTGGCTATATCAGTTTGCAAAGTTAATCTGAACGGGAGTGACTTTCTGCTAATCACCAGTGCACACTGAGTATCTTGGAGGCTGTTTTGGATCTGAATGGAGCTAATATCGTCTGGACTTTTGTCCTTTGCTGATATCTGGTGGTGGAATTGAAAATTGATCCTCAATTAAATCCTTTTTCCCTACGTTTTCCTTGCTACTTGAATTGCAATATTTAACAGATGGATATATGATGCCCATTATATCTTTCAACCTAATCCCATTATGCTTGGATGGATATTTCATGCCCATTATATTCTTCAACCTTATTTGGACATTTTAAGCAGATTAGACCTCTAGACAGAACATATTTCTATATTTCTCTTCAATTTCCATAGATGGATGTTTGGTGTCCATTGTTTCCTCTCTTATGGTTTTAAACATATAGGTCAAATAGATCTTTGTTAGGTTATACCTATATATCCTAAAGCATTTAACAGATATCTGATGCCCATTATATCCTCTACAACTGTTTTGGACGTAAAGGCCAATTAAGAATTTTTAGGTCATTTTCTTCTAGCTCCATGAGCTTTCACATCCAGGACTGCCTTGGCGGTAAAAATTTCCTCAAAAAATCTCCCCTGAAGAAGCCCATGAGGGTGAAACATGTAGGGAGTATACTACATTAACCTAACCAAGTTTGAATCTCAGTTGGTATTCTTAGATTTAAAATTGTTTTTATGTTTTTGTATTTTTTCCTTTCTTATGTTTTTTTTACCAAAATACAAAATAAAAATCATTTAACTTTTAATGTGTCTATGCACCCTGAAAGTCCCATCTTCTCTATTGATTATATACCATTTTTAAAACAAAGCAGCTTTTGCACCATGCCATTTTCCTGAGGTTCCCGCAGTCATAAACACACTGCAGCTTTAGATGCATGGGGGTGCACGGGCAGCACAGTGGCTAAATGGTTAGCACTTCCGCCTGGCAGTACTAGGGTTGTTGGTTCAAATCCCAGCCATGGCACCACCTGCCTGGAGTTTGCATGTTCTCCCTGTGCCTGCATGGTTTTCCTCCCACACTCCAAAGACATGCTGGTATGTTAATTGGATCCTGTCTAAATTGGCCCTAGTGTATGAATGTGAGTTAGGTTAGAGACCTTAGATTGTACACCCCTTGAAGGTTAGGGACTGATGTGAATGTACAATATATATGTAAAGTGCTGCATAAAATTGACAGCGCTATATAAGTACCTGAAATAAATAAATGACAGAGAGTGGAAACAGGTGCAATTCCCGTAATCACCCGCAGTAGTGTGAACCAGTTCTTAGTGGGTTAGGTGCATGGTGACAAAAGTGTATTACTCTTGCTCATTTGTTTTCATGAATTCCCAAACAGTGGTTGTTTGATATATAAAATAAAATATGAAGATTTTTTTTTTGTAATTTTGCCCAGACATACACTTTAATAATTTGCATAAAATATTTTTGTTTCCACGAATATAAGGAGTTTTCTGCATTTAGTCCAAAACAGGTATAGAGGCACTCACTGGTCTTGCAGCAGAGGTAAACCAAACAACAATATTTTATGGTCGACCTTTCATCTTTCATAAGACACTAAAACTTGGAGGCGAACAAACGAGTGAACTCAAAGTCCCATCCACCAACAACTCCACCTAGTGATGACATCACACAGTGTTTCAAATTTCAGTTCATGAACAGTAATGAAAAAAATCATGGGGCACTTATACCTCTGACTGGGAAGTAGGTAAGTGTAAATCCAGGCACTAGGGGGAAAGAGTAGAATATCAGTTAATTTAGGTTGACTTAAGCCAATTTATATATTCAATGTTAAAGTGACTGTAAAGTCTATTTTGTTATCATTAAAATAATAAACAGGTAAATACGTACGTGTTCTGTGTAATGGCCTTGCACAGAGCTGCCACAAACCTCCTCTTCTGGGGTCCCCAGCTGCAGCTCTTGGCTTCTCTTCTTTCTGCCTTCACAGCAAGTCTCTGGCTATTGGGTCAGACATGGGGGCTCGCTCCCGAGCCAGGCAGTGTGTGTCCGTAGACACACACAGTGCGGCTAGGTCACACTCCTGCTCTCTGCTCACTGGATTTGACTAACAACAGCAGCAGCCAATGGCCCCCACTGTTTTCAGCAATGACTGTGAGATCAGAAAGAGAGGAGAGAAGACCTGCAGCAGGGTAAAGCACTGAATCGATACAGGAGGGGGAGAACATACAGTGGAAGGTTTTTTAGCTCAATGCAAGGAATGAATTAATGTAAAAATCCTTTAGAACTACTTTAACACTGCTTGGAACTATGTCTAAAGCTGGCCATACACTAGTAGATTTTCATACAAATGTTCTTACAAACATTCATAGGAAAATTGTCATGATTGATGTCAGAAAGTACTTCAAAAAACATTTGCTTTAAACATTCTACTCCGATACTATGCGTATGGAGGAAATGCTTGCGTTTGCCAATGATACCTATGATAAACATAAGTTACTGTGGTCGGTCTGGCTCCATTTCTCCTCCTCTTCGACTCTCCGATATTTGTGTTCCCCTGTCGTGCCTTAATGGA